GCCCTCCTCTGGCCTCTGCGTCAGCCCCTTCCCTGGGCCCGGGTGGGGGGTGGAGGGGACACCCTTTATGGCTGCCCACAACCCACCCCCCCATCCCCTGTCCCCCTCCATTAGGCTGCACTGCTTTCCCACCCTTCTGGACTTATGGCAAATTCCCTTTGTCATGTTATGTGTGGGGAGGGGGGGGGTGGCAACTGAGGCACAAGACGGGAAGGGGCTCCCAGACCCCCCCGTCTCTCTGCAGGTCTCTCCCAGCTGCAAAAGTGGGAGCTGGGCTAGTGGGTTCTAAGGCGTGGGAATGAGGACAGCTTCAGCAATGACCCTTCTGTCTGATGGATCTTGCACAGGTGCTGGCAACTAGGGGCTGAGCTTCACCCCACCATGGGCCATGTGCCTCCTTGAGCAAGCACAGGTAGAGGGCCCTTCCTGGATACATTTGCCTCTCTGGGCTTCGGGGGACTGGCCGGGCAGAGGACGGTCAGGGAGATCCTTGCTGCACCTGAGTTGGGGAAGGCACTAGAAGGCAGAAATGGTGCACTGGACCCTCAAGGCAGCTGAGGGACCCAGGGACATGATGGCCCCAGGGACTGTGTGTGGTTCTTGTCCAGGGATGTAGAAATAGTCAAAAGCCTTTTGGGTGTCTGGGTCAGAACCCCAACCTGGTGGAGGAGAGAAGGTGGCATTGATGGGAATTGATGGATGGGAGTCATGGTGGGCGTGGGCGGGGTCAGGAGGGCCTCTCCATCCCCAGGCTCAGCTCCACCCCTGCAGCTCCTCGCCTGGATCCCTCGGAGGAAGAATCCTGGGGTCAGACTCTCCGGACCGTCTGGGTCCCACACCCGCCCTTGGCTGTCTGTGTTGAGGCACCAAGGGGATGGGAGACGGGTGCTGCAAATGGGAGACCTTTTCTTCGAGGCCCAGGTTCAGCAGGGCCCGCTGTCCAAGAGGGGAGGTGGAGCTAGCTGGCAAGGTGCCCCTGCCATGGGGCCTCTCCTGACAGGTGGAGGCGGGTCTCTCTGGGAAGGTGCCGTGCCCCTGGCTCCTGACCCCTGGGTGGGAGAGGTGTATCCCTCTGGACACCAGGACTGAGGAGGCCTCAGAAGGGCTGCTGCGTGACACTGGTGGGCTTGGGCTTGGCCCAAGCCGACGGTGGTCGGCAGTCTGGGAGCAGCTTGGTGGTCTTGGGAGTTGAGAGGTCACCTTTGTGTGAAGGTCGAGGCTGGGAATCAGAGACCCCAGCAGGGCTGTGAACCTGCTGGTCAGTCCTGTTGCCCCTCCCCATGTCAGGAACATCCAGTCTGTGTCCTGGCACACCAGGGTTCTGGGGCATGACAGAGGCTTCCCATGTAAACACACAGAATCTGACTAGGAGGTCTCAGGAACAGGGAGATGCATTAGAGCTGGGGGTCTTCCCATCAGCAGACACTTCCTTTGCTTTCTGGCTCTGTCATGAGGTACTTAGGACTGATTAGTGTTAAACCCCTTATAGAATCCAACACCCATCCATCTAGCCATCCATCTATCTATCCATCTATTCATGCATATGTCATCATCTACCCGTCCATTCATCATCCATCTATGTATCTATCCGTTCATCTTTTCTTCTATCCATCCATCCACCCACCTGTTCATCTACCCATCCATCACCTGTCTATCAATCCATCCATTCATCCACCTATCCATTCATCATCTACTTATGGATCTACCATCCATCCATCTGCCTAACATTTACTGAATGCTTGCCATGTGCTGGGCATAAGGTTAGTATTGGTTATACCAGGTGAACAAAGGCATAGCATCACCTTTGGGTAGGGTTGCCAGCTGAAGTAATGGGAAATACAGGACACTCAGTTCAACTTGAATTTCAGATAAACAATGAATACTTTACTGTAAGAATGTATGCAATGTTTATATGCATACATGCATATTTGATGTAAACATGCAATATCTGATGTAAGTATGTCCCCAATACTGCATGGGATATACTTATACTGATACTTATTTGTTGCCTATCTGAAATTCGGACTTAACCAGGTGGTCTGTGTGTTATCTAGCAGTCCCAGCCTGAGGAGCTCTTTGAGCTGGTGAGATGATGCAGGATGACAGGTGCATCAGTGTTCCAGGTGGGAGGGCGGCTCCTCCTGCCTCTGAGAGTTGGGGCAAGTCTCCTTGAGGGGACGAATGCTTCACTCTGCACAAAAACCATAAGCCGTCAGCCCTGCCACCCCCTGGCTGCACCTCGGTGCCCTGCTCCCGCTGGCGTCTCTGCCAGCAGCTCTAAGGTGAGCTTGGGTCTCTCATTATGCCATCCATGTGCTAGAGCACGGGTCCAGGGCACCCATTTCCACACGGGAGTCTCTGGGGGCATCAGTGACTTCCTCGGATGGGCCCTCCAGTGGGTCCTCCCCGGGTTCTGTTGGCCTGGTCCCCCCACCTCTCTCTCAGGCCGGAGAATTTGGGTCCAGGAATTCCTGACTTCCTGGTTTGGGGGCCCCGCCCTGCACGGAGTGCTCCGTGCTCCAGGAGGCCGGTGCTGCCCCCCGCCTGCCCCCCATTCCTTCCTGGCCCTGCTTTCTCGGCCCTTCATACTGCTGGCCAGCCGGGGCAGCAGGTGGTTTATTGGGCTGGGCTTGGGTGTTTGCCCTCACCTCTTGCCGCTGGATTATAATCTCCTTTTGGGAGGGTCCCAGTCCTTTTGTTACTTTATTACCTGCTCATGCCGGCAGCAAAGAATGTTTAGACTACTGCACAGTGCACTCATTTCACATGCTGGTAGGGTTATGCTCAAAATCCTTCAAGCTAGACTGCAGCAGTGTGTGAACGTAGAACTTCCAGGTGTATACGCTGGATTTAGAAAAGTCAGGGGAACCAGAGATCAAGTTGCCAACATTCACTGGATCACGGAGAAAGCAATGGAGTTACTAGAAAAACCTTTACTTCTGCTTCATTGACTACACTAAAGGCTTTGACTGTGTGCATCACAACAAGTTGTAGCAAATTCTTCAGGAGATAGTACCAGACCCCCTCATGTGTCTCCTGAGACACTCATATGGAGGCCAAGAAGCATCAGTTACACGTTTACAGGGGACAACAGACCGGTTCCAAGTCGGGAAAGGAGTCCGTCAAGGCTGTGTACTGTCCCCCTGCTCATTTAACTCCTGTGCAGAGCACATCACGAGAAATGCCGGGCTGGATGAAGCACAAGCTGGAATCAAGATTGCCGGGAGAAATATCAGTAACCTCAGATATGCAGATGATACCACCCGTATGGCAGAAAGCGAAGAGGAACTAAAGAGCCTCTTGATGAAGGTCAAAGAGGAGACTGAAAAAGCTGACTTGAAACTCAACATTGAAAAAATTAAGATGATGGCATCTGATCCCATCACCTCATGGCAAATAAAAGGGAAAAGTGGAAGCAGCGACATCTTATTTTCTTGGGCTCCAAAATCACTGCTGACCTTGACCACAGCCATGAAATTAAAGACACTTCCTCCTTGAAAGAAATGCTATGACCAACCTAGACAGTGTATTGGAAAGCAGAGAGATCACTTTGCCAACAAAGGTCTGTATCATCAAAGCTGTGGTTTTTCCAGTGGTCATGTATGGGTGTGAGAGTTGGGCCATAAAGAAGGCTGAACACAAAAGAACTGATGCTTTCAAACTGTGGTGCTTGAGAAGACTCTTTAGAGTCCCTTGGACTGCAAGGAGATCAAACCAGTCCATCCTAAAGGAAATCAGTCCTGAATATTCACTGGCAGGACTGATGCTGAAGCTGAAGCTCCAATTCTTTGGCCATCTGCTGTGAAGAGCCGACTTACTGGAAAAGACCCTGATGCTGGGAAAGATTGAGCGCAGGAGGAGAAAGAGGCAGCAGAGGATGAGATGGTTGGATGGCATCGCTGACTCAATGGACATGAGTTTGAGCAAGCTCTGGGAGGTGGTGAAGGAAGGGAAGCCTGATGTGCTGCAGCCCAGGGAATTGCAAAGAGTTAGACAGGATTTAGAGATGGAACAGCAACAACTGAGAATGTTGGAAGATAAGCCCTGGAACAATAAGTAACTTGTTGAAAAAGATTCAGGTTTAGGCACAGTATGAAGTGTCTATTTGTTAAAAAAAAAATGGTGGCAGACATAGTAGAAACACACTCAGGCTCTACTGTTGATAGAAGTTTGCAGGCCTCAGGGCCCAGATGTGGTCTGGGGCCGTCTTGTACTTGTCCCCGCTGGAGAGAGGAGTCTGGCTAGGCCAGTGTACATGCTCTCCCAGCCGTGGACTCAGACATTCACTATCTTCACAGGGTACAGGCATTCACTATCCTCTGGTTGCCTGTATTTTCTGATTTTTTAAAGAACAACTCTTTTTTGATTCTGTGCTTTTGAAGTATGCTTTACATACAGTAAAATGTGTCGATCCAAAGTGTGCAGTTTGATGACTTTTGACAAACACACAGCCCCGTGTGACCCTCACCCAGATCAAGGCGAGTTTCCACCCCCAGAGACCTCTGTGCCTTCTTCCGGCCTCATGTGACTGTGGGTGAACAGTGATTGGAGCAGCTGTGTGTGCAGCCCAGGGAGGCGTGTCCACATTATCCTTGTCTCCTGGACCTTGCCACCCAGTGGGCGCTGGAAAGGTGCTGGGCCTGGGGAGGGGGAGGGGCCCTGCAGCAGGAGGGACCCGCCCTGCACCCCCTGCCCCGCCTGCCTGAGGCTGCCCTCCCTGCAGCTGCCTTGTCAGCCTGGGGTCACCTGGCCGAGGGACAGAAGGCCTATTGTACCAGGGGCATCCTCTGCCCTGGAGAGGGGGTGGGAAGGGGCGGGAGGCCGCGTTCCTGGGGTGGGGGCGGCACGTCCTCTGAGCTGCCAGCCCAGAGTCAGCCCTGCCGGGACCCAGCTTGGTCTGCAGGGGCCTCAGGGACGTTGTTGATCCCACGAAGCTGGCTTAAATCCCAGCTGCCCTTCTCCAGGACGACCTCTCCCCTTGGGGGCAGGCCTCCGCCTTCTCAGCTTGCACACAGGGGCGGGGCCTTGAGCTCGGTGTCTGCTCTTCTTGTAAGGACACCAGCCCTGCGGAGTTGGGGCCGCCCTCCCGACTTCACAGCTCCGTCCCCAAATACAGTCTCATGGGGGCTGCAACTCCACCGACGGAGCTGGGGGACAGGCAGTGGGGTTTCCACCTGCCGTTGGAGAACCTGAGCGCGTACACCAGCAGGCCTGCAGTCACGGTGAGGAGGAGGACACCTGCTAGGCTCTGGGCTCTGATCTGTTTCTCGAGGCCGCTCCCTGCCCTGGATTCCCTTCCCGGTCTCCCAGTTAATCCGGTTGTGGAAAATGCCCCACAGCAGGCGTGAGAGGAGGGCTGAAGTTCGTGTGTGTGCGCACAGGTGTGTGTTGGGAGGGGGTGGTCCCAGCCACGCTCTTGGTGCATCAGGCCCCCTCAGCAGGCCCCCTTTCCTATGCCAAGGCCCTGCTGCAGGATGGAGGCACTTCACCCTCATGGTCCTGTCCAGGCAGGTGCCCGGAACCAGCCGCAGGGGCTTGCTGTGTGGAGGCGCAGACATCGTTGCCCAGCAAAGCTTCAGATGGTACAAGAGGGGTGGCAGAACTTTGGGGGCCACAGCCTTGCCCATGCGGGTACCCCCAGAGCCTGTCTTCCCCATCCTGTCTGGATTCATGGTTTAGGTGGGCTCCTCCCCAGTCAATCCCAGGAAACCACAGAAGGCAGGAAGGATGCACATAGGGAAAGGTAAACACCAAGCAAGACCCAGGGAAGCCCCTGAGAAAGAGGTCAGCTTCAGGGGGTGGGGGCAGCGGGTGGCGGAAGCAAGACCTTTGTGGGCACGCCTTTCAGGGGGACACGGACCCCGTGGCCAGGCTGCGGAGGCGGGGAGCTGTTATCACGTGGCTGGTTCTCCTGACACCACACTTCCGAAGTCAACTCATTCAGACGACAGACGACAACTTGATCGGTCTCTTAGGAAACGTGGAGGGTTTTAGAGGCTCTGTGCCAGAAACTGGACGAAGCCTGAGTGTGTATGTGTTTCTATCAGAAGTCACAACATCGCAGGTGGGCACGTCACTGCCCTCCCGGGGCTCTGGGGACGGCGAGCAGCGGGAGCAGCCCTGCAGAGCCAGGAGATGACCTCAGGAAGCGGTGCCAGCTTCCCACGACACCCCTGGAATCAGGCACTACGGCTGGAACAGGTGGGCCAAGAGTGTGACATGCGCCTGAGATTGAAGTGGAGCTAGTGAGGTCGACCCCGCGAAGCGGAGAGAGGAGGAGAGAGTCAATAAGAAGCAAGCACAAAATCATGAAAGAAAGACCAGAGCGGAGACATTAGGTTTGACGGCTGTGACTGTCAACATGAATCAGACCACAGAGAGGACAAGTAGCCGGATGGGTGCGGCTGAGCCCACGGGCAGCTTGTAGGGCTGAGAAAGCATCACAGAGGCAGAAACTGTGGCGAGATGAGATCGGGAAATACGCACCGAGGGCAGAGTGGAGATGCCAGCCCCGGGACCCAGGAGTCCAGGTGGGGGTGGGGAGCACCTGAAAACGCAGGAGACGTTTCTGGGATCCGAGCTGGAAGGATTCACGGACTCAGATGCTGATGGGGGAGGTAAGGGCATCCAGGCACGCTTCTGCTTCCGAATATTGGAGACAAAAAGAAAATTCTAGCAGCTTCCCCAAAGAGAAGAAGGCTTCTCACCAAAGAGCACAAGTCAGGTTGATATCCGGCGTCCCGACAGCAATTCTGACTTGAGAGGTGGAGCCGAGTCCGCGGAAGAAAAGCGCTGTGGACCCAGGAGCGCGGCGGAAAACCGCAGCCAGGCATGAGGGGAGGGCGGCGAACTCAGGCCCGAAACGGAAGGAAGCAAGCTTGCTCCATGACTCCCCCGGCCGCCGCTGCCCCGGAAACCTGTTTGCAGGGAGCAGTCAGTGCGGAGGGAAAGGAACCAGGGAGGATGCCCCCCAGCCCCTCAAGGCGCCAGGAAGGAGGGGCCCCACCCCGGGCGCAGATGACCGTCCTCTGAGAACACTTCCGGCTGAAGGAAGAGGAGCCGGCTGGTCGCAGCCCTCAGCTGCAAACTGTTACCAGCTCCCTGAGCTGGACCGCGTTGAGGACGGCATCCCGGGCGGCCGTGACCTTGGATGGGAAACGTCCCACCTTTTATTCGCAGTGTGCTCAGTCGCTCAGCCACGTCTGACTCTTTGCGACCCCATGGACTGTAGCCCGCCAGGCTCCTCTGTCCACAGGATTCTCCAGGCAAGAACACTGAAGTGGGTTGCCCTTTCCTTCTCTAGGGGATCTTCCCAACCCAGGGATCAAATCTGGGTCTCTTATGTCTCCCACATTGGCGGGTGGGCTCTTCACCACTGGGGCCACCTGGGAAGCCCCTCCCTTGCCTAAACTGAGTGCTCACCTGTGCTGGCAGGAAGAACCCCCTCCCCGCCTGGGATCCGGGTCCTGGGCTGACACTGTAGGGTTTCAGAAGCACTGGTTGATGTTTCAGTATTGGTGGTCATGAGACCCGTCTTTGGCTCTCCATTAATACACCAGCGAGAAGCCTCATTCATTGCTGCATAAGAAGCTACACTTGCTGTTGTTTTGGTAGCTGTATTTCACTGTAAGTGGTTTGCTTTGCAGCACGATGCCTTTTATTTTATGCATTTACAAATCGTGTGCTGGGAAGGGAATCCGCAGGCTTCCCCAAAGGGGCGGAGGAAAAGGCTCACCCCATCCCCCACACCCCAGGGGTTGGTTGACCGCCCTGCAGGGCCTCTGCAAGTTACGGCACGGTTCTGTGCCTCAGTTTCCCCATCTGGAAAACAGGGGGAATGGAGGGCAGGTGAGTCGGCCCGCATGCGACAGCACTTCTGGCCACTTCAGGACTGCCGGGTAGAAAGGAAATGGGACGCTCTTAGGATTAAGTGATGTTCACAACACACGCCAAGATCCGCAGGATTCAGCTGTGTGGTCCTTAGAAAGAAGCTGATGAAACACAATAGGCTCCAGATTAGAGGAGGCCTGCGCACAGCACTGTCATTGCAGATGATGAATCTGAAAACCTGGAGGGCGGGAGCGAGTACACTTGAAACATGTGAAAGACTAAAATTGGCCCGAGAGGAAGGAGAGAGCTTGAATACAAATCAGTGCTAAGGAAACGGAAATGGCGGTCAGACTGCCAGCCAGCCAAAGACCTACCCAGGCCCAGCTGGCTTTACAGGGGACTTGACCAAACTTAAAGCATCAGTTGATTCCTTTTCTGGATAATTTGTTTCAGAAAAGATAAAGATGAAAGAACCACAAGCAAGGTTGCCCAGCTCCCGTCATGAGGCTAGAATGAACCTTGACTCTAAAACCAGGTAAACATATGAAACGATGCCCCGAGCATCTCCCCTGTGAGCTTAGGGAAGCCCAGGTAACTTCCTAGTAACTCACTGAGTAGGGCTGGGCTCCTGGCTGCCTCGTCCCGCCTGCTGCAGCCTCTGGCCGTGGTCTTGGCCTGGGAGCCTGGCCGGAAAGCGCCTTGGTGGACTTCAGACTCTGCAACTTCTCACCAGCTGAGCCGGGGGGGGGGAGGCCCTGTTTGGAGCCGGAGGGTGGGGACAGGAGGGAGGGGGCTGGCTCCCCACATCCCCCCTCCTTTCTTGTTCCGGACATTGTAGGGGATGGGGCTCAATGATGCCACAGTAAATGTGCTTAAAGAAAAACTAGCCTGTTTATTTTAGAATAGTTTTAAGAGTTACAGAGAAGGTGCAAAAATAGCACAGAATTCCTGTCCATCCTGTGCTGGATGTTCCCCTAACGTTAACATCTCGCCTTAGTGAGACATTTGTCATGACCAGTGAACCAATATCGATGCATCGCTATTAATCGAAGTCTCTGCCTTGCTCTGGCTTCCTTGGTTTGTACGGATGTCCTCTGTCGTCCACGTGGATCCCACATTGCCCTGGTCACTGTGTGGCCTTAGGGTTCTCTGTGGGGAGACAGTTCTCACACTTGCCCTGACCTGGACGACCTTGAGGAAGACTTGGCAGGTATTTTGTAGAGTGGCCCTCAAGTGGAGTTAGTCTGATGTCTTCCTTATGGTTATGCTGTGGTCACGGGCTTGGGGAGGAAGTACACAGAGGGAGCAAGCCTTTCCACCACTGCTCTTCATGGACTCAGCGTCACCGTGATGTGTGACCCGGGACGTTGGTCCCGGCCACCAGGCTGAGGTGTGCTCGTCAGGGATCTCCTTGGTTGAGCGCCTCTCTCCCCACTTTGCACACTGTCCCCTGGAAGGAGGCCACGCTGCAGCCCCCCGAGGGCTGGGGGGGTCGCCCTCTGCCTCCTTGAGCTTCTACATAAGCCATGTGAATTCTTCTGCAGGTGTGACCCAACTCAGGTTCAGCTGCTTGTCACTCAAGAATTCCAAACTGAAACAAGGGTTGGGGAAAAGGAAAGACAGCCGTGCTGGGGAAGCCGGCTAACCCGGGGAGAAGGTGGACTCACGGCCCGGTGAACCGGCAACCCATTTCCCAGGCTTTGCTCGGAGATCAGCTGGGGAGAAGAGGCAGGGGCCACGGGCTGGGGAGGGGGCAGTCTTCTAGTTTCGGAGATGCTTGTTTCTCTCACACAGCCGTACTCAGCGGTCACTTGTCCCTTGTGCCTGGGACGCTGGCTGAGCCTCACATCTCGGGTCAGCTGGTCCCTCAGTTCCCACTGGCCTGAGATCCACGTGCTTGTGGGCAGCGTGCAGGTAACTTCTCCTACCTGGTGGGGGTTTCGGCATCTGCCAAACAGCTCAAAAGACATGGCTAAGGCTGTCGTCTGTCGTCCTTGAAGAAGAACTAAAGGCCCTAGACTTTGTCTAACGACTAAACTATTACTCTTATTTTGTCTTCTCTGCTTTCCTTTCTTTTTCTATTTTCTCACATCTCTGATTAAATTTAGCCTTTGGATCTCGGGGAAGGCCTAGGAGGCAACTGAAGCACGCAGAAGATGTGGTGGGGGGGAGGGGATGCAGTTTCTGTCTTGGGAAAGCAGCTTGCTTGCACAAGGGAGATTTGTATCTTCTCTTCTATTGTTTATTTAATCATGTGTTTATATGGCTATGTACTTTGGATGTTTATTTTACGCTTCGGATCGGAACCCTGCACTATTTATTTTATTGCTCAAATTGTTCCAGTCTTGGTCGCCGGGAGCCAGTCTTGGTCGCTGGGAGCCCCGCAGGTGTCTCTTGTGTCTGGGACACGCTTGTAGCTTGCTGACACTTCCTACTTTCTGGCATGACAGGAAGCTGCAGGTTCTCTGGAATGTTCTCTGCCCCAGCCCTAGAATCAGCCATTTCTCTAGGGAGCCCTGGTTCCTCTTGCTGGAGAACCCGGTTAGAAACCGAGATCTGGGCCCTGGTTGGGGGCTGGCTGCTGCTGGGGTGTTGCTGCTTCTCAGCCCTCTCGGCTGACACAGCCAGGGAAAACACGTGTGTGCTAACTGGTGTACACACACAGGTATCTGCACGTGTCTAAACGGGCCCGCCTGCATCTCTGTTGACTACACTCGAGCTCCTGTTCCTGCCGGCGTCTCCACCTCGGATCCATCAACACACGGTTGTTCTGAACTCCTCCTCTTGCTCATCTGAAAATCCCCACCCAGCAGTGGACGCTGCCCCCCACCCACCTCCCACTCACTTCCTCATCACACTCCAGCACACGCGGAGAGTGGCTTCAGGATTGAACCCTTACGGAAAACAACTGTGCTCAGGCGATTTTTTATCTTTAACTTCATCTTAGATTTTGTTGTAGTTGTTCAGTTGATCAGTTCAGTTCAGTTTAGTCGGTCAGTCGTGTCCAACTCTTTTGTGACCCCAAGGGCTGCAGCACGCCAGGCCTCCCTGTCCATCACCAACTCCCGGAGCTTAGTCAAACTCATGTCCATCGAATCGGTGATGCCATCCCAACCATCTCATCCTCTGCCGTCCCCTTCTCCTCCTGCCTTCAATCTTTCCCAGCATCAGAGTCTTTTCCAATGAGTCAGTTCTCCACATCAGGTGGCCAAAGTATTGGAACTTCAGCTTCAGCATCAGTCCTTCCAATTCTGGCTTGATTTCCTTTACAATTGGTTTGATCTCCTTGCAGTCCAAGGAACTCTCAAGAGTCTTCTCTGATACCGCAATTTGAAAGCACCAATTCTTGCCTGCTTTATGTTCCAACTCTCATATCCATGCATGACTACTGGAAAAACTGTAGCTCTGGCTATATGTACCTTTGTCGACAAAGTAATGTCTCTCTCTTTTTAAGATGCTATCTAGGTTTGTCATAGCTTTTCTTCTAAGGAGCAAGTGTCTTTTGATTTCATGGCTGCAGTCACCGTCCACAGTGAATTTAAAGTTCCTGTCTTTACTCTGTACCCACCCTCAGAATAGGCCCTGAAACATGCTCTGTGCTTTGCCTGATCAGCCTCCCTCTCACCAAGCCACCACTCTGCTTACCTAAATACACCTTTGTGGTGGGCTTTCAGTGAGTTTATCAAGTCAGGAATATTTCCTTTGGCTCTATTCTTAATTTGCTGAGAGATTTTTGAAAAAGGTCACAGCGAAGTGTTAAATATTTAAATCTTAAAAGTCAAAAACAGGTGTTAAGTCAGTGCTCTCTCTGCATCACCTGAGAGACTTATATGCTTTTTGTCCTGTAATTTATTCTTACGGGATTTTCATTGATCTGTTTTTGATATTGGACCTTCCTCAAAATCCCCAGAGACCTTAGATCTCTCAGGGTCCCAGAGGAAAGAGGTTTGCATTCAGATTAAGTACACTGCAGGAGAGCTTAGTCGAGGGGCAGTCTATAAAGGTGTGGCAGGGTGTGGGGGCCCCCAAGGGCTAGTGCACCTGCAGGTCGGCCAGCTTGATGGGAAGAGAGGATTCTGGAACCCGAGAGGAAAGTGTCCTTGAGAGAGGGCCACCTGGAGAGGAGCCCGGAGCCCCTTGAAGGGCCATCTGGGGTGGGGAGGCAGGTGGGGCTGCGGAGGTGGGTGGGGTGCGTCAACAGGCTTGGTGGGGTCCCTCGAAGGGGAGCTGTGACCTCAGGGCAGCTCAGGAGGTCCCAGTTTTCTGACCTACTGTGGGGCACCTGGGGAAGACCCCCCCCCCACCTCCAGAAGGAGGCCTGATGGTCCAGGTGCCCTGCAGCTGTGGGCCCCTGGGTGCCCTGGACGGCCCTGTGGATGGAGCAGGGCCCCAGTCGGGAGCCTGGGGAGCGGCAGGGGCAGGGGCGGGGCTTGGGGCAGGGGGCAGGACCGCGCCTGCACAGGCCTGGCCAGCCTGTCTCACTTTGCAGCTTGTGATCTGGTTGAGACATGGGTGCTACCCAGGACTGGACCACCCAGGGCTCCCACCAGAACCTGGGACCTACCTGTGCTGGGTGCCAGAGGTACTGGGCTGCCTTGCACACATTGCTGAGACCCTCCCGGGGAGCCCCAACACTGCTCCACATTCAGGGAGGGTGGAGCCCCCACCCGGCCCTCCAGGAAGCCCCCTCCTTTCCGGGACTCAGCTTACCCCTCCCTGAAGGACCTTCGATTAAGCACAAACCAGAAAAGAAGATTCCAGAAACCAAATTATGATGTAATGGGACATTTTCACATTCGGCTTCTTCATACCCGCTTCAAAGAACAGGAAGGGAACTTGCCCAGCCCGGCCCAATCACGGGGTCCTGAGCCCCTCCCAGGAAGGAGCCAGTGGGCCTTCTGGTTTTGCACAGACAGGATGACCTCACAACTCACCCTCCAAGCCAGGACACTTTTGAGAGAAAACAGGGCACCCCAGTGATGACTCAGGACCCAGGGATGACCGGGGATCTCTGGTCTCCCTCTGCAGAGTAACCGGGTTCCACTCTGGGCTAGTAGTAAAGAACCTGCTTGCCAACGCAGGAGACGCAAGTGACTTGGGTTAGATCCCTGGGTCGGGAAGATCCCCTGGGGGAGGAGATGGCAACCCACTCCAGTATTCTTGCCTGGAGAGTCCCATGGACGGATGTGCCTGGCGGGCTACTGTCCGTAGGGCTGCAAAGAGTCAGACGCGACTGAAGTGACTTAGCACAGCTCTGGGCTGAGTGGTCACGGGCAGAGTGCTCCGAAGCTTCCACGGCAGTGATCACACATCTAGCTCAAGGTCTGCCACATGGGCAGGACTGAGCAGGGAGGGTCACCCACTTCGGTCCACGTGGCTTCGGCCTGGGCGGCTTGGCAGGCGGCTAGAGGATGTGCTTCTGGTGGTTCACTCACTGCTGAGCCAGGGCCTCTCTTCTGCCTTCCACTCGGGCTTCCGGGCAGCAGGGTGGCTGGTCCAGGAGTGGGTGAGGCTGGGGGATGCGGGAGGGGCTTCCAGTCCCAGAGCATCACTTCTGCCATCACCAGGCCTGAGCCACTCTCCCTCCGGACAAGGTGCTGGGAGGATGGGGCGGGGGGAGGGGAAGGGGGCGACACTGTGCGGCCTCTTTTGGAAGACGCAGTCACCCAGGACGGTGGATGCTGGCCCAGCGCAGGGCCAGAAGTCACTGGGTCCCTGCGGGGCGGCTACCTCTCTGCTGTGTCCGCAAGAGCCGGGAAGACGCTTCCTCCCTAAAGATGGGCTTGAGGCTGCCTCCTGCGAGGGCATTCCTGGGGGAGCCATTCGGGGTTTGTGCGGGCTGTCCACTGGGGCTCTCTCCCCGCTTTGGGTGCTGGCCCCGTGAGGTCGTGGTCCCCTTCGGTCTCAGCCTGCTGGGACTGCCACAGTGGGATGGTAGAGACCCGGGCGTAAACAGCAGAGGTGAGCTTCTCACAGTCCCGGAGGCCGGGAAGCCCAGGTTCAAAGTGCCGGCAAGGGGGTCTCCCCCTCTCCCCGCCACCCTTCCCTGCGTGTCCTCACGCGGCCTTGCCTCCATGCACGCACCCCTGGTGTCCTCCCCTTCCTGCGAGGCTCCTGTCGTGTTGGGTTAGGGCCCAACCCCGTGACCGCATTTAACCTCGATGACCTCCTGAAGACCTCGACTCCACGTCGGGTCCCATGGGGGTGAGGGCTCCCACGTGTGGATTCTGGGGGACACGGATCCATCCAGAGCGCCTACTTCTTCCCTCACCTCAATCCCTCTGCCAGCTCCTCCTCCCCCGACTCGAAGCTTCCGAGGGCCCGGGGTGTGGTCCCTGGCAGCTTCTCTTTCCTCTGTCCATCTACACACCCTCCCTGGGTGGCCCCATCCCGCCTGTCCATGAAGACTGCCTGCTGCTGACGCCCCATCCTGGGTTCCTCTCCTGAGCTCGGCCAGGCCTCCAGCCTCCTGTCTGCTCTCCCCATGCAAGTCAGAGGCCAGAAGAGAGCCCGCCACCCCCTCTCCACCCTGTCCCCCTCCCCTGCCGGCTTTCCCATCCCAGGAAATCACCCCAACACTCTGCTGCAGCCCCAGCCTCGGCCGCACTCCGGACTCTGCCCCTCCGTCCATCCCCGCACTCAGAGGGGTCTGTCTGCTCCCTGAATCTCTTACATCCAGACTCCTTCCTGCCACCCCCCACCCTCGCTGTGGTCCACCGTGCTCCCTCTAGTGGGCCTCCTGCAGGTTCGCTGTGAGGGTTTCTTTCTCTCACTCCAGATTATTGCTGAAACAGAGGTTTCAACAGTCTATCGGATCTGGAAAATCCCCAGCCTGTTACCTCTCCCCAGCGTGGGTATGCGTGCCTTTGGGGCAGAAATCATACACGCTGCACCCTTGTGTCCTCACCTTCTACGTCCCCTGGCCTCTCTGCTGGATCCTGGGGAACCTTCTCAGACCATCCTCCGGGTCAGTGTTCCCTCTTCATTTGCATTAGATCTGCTGTGAAGCCAATCAACCAAGCTCCAGATTTCAATGACTATATATATATATATTTAGAAGTCTTTAAAAATCTGTCTGAAAATTTTTGGTAGTCTCATGTACCTTGCTCATATTTGCGATTCCCTTTAGTTTTTTCAGATTTGATTTTTATAAAATTTATACACTTACCAGGTGGCACTTATGGTAAAGAACTCGCCTGCCAAAGCAGGAGACAGAAGCGACGGAGGTTTGATCCCTGGGTCGGGAAGATCCCCTGGAGGAGGCAATGGCAGCTCACTCCAGTATTCTTGCCTGGAGGATCCCATGGACAGAGGAGCCTGGTGGGCTACAGTCCACGGGGTCGCAAAGAGTCGGATATAAGACTAAAGTGACTTAGCATGAACACACATACAGGGATCCAAGAATCAGTGGGGTTCTACACGGCTGTTGTTTTTAGGTTTTACCTTCTAACAACTTTATACATACACATAGTATAAGAGGTCAACATGGTTTATAAGCATTTTATCTCCTTAATATCCCCCCCCCCCAATAACAGTCCATCCACCACCGCAGCCTGGACTCCTGGCTCCCAGGTCCTGAGCACAATGCGATGATCCTTGTTCTAAGGCCCTGAAACTCTCTAACGCCCTGTCTCAGGGAAGGATGTGTTAGAAATGGCACAGGGCTCGGCTCTCCCCAAACCCCATAAACCCACACGTCCACCAGGGCAGCGGAACCAGAGTGCACGGACACAGTCTGCAAGCAGCCAGGCGTCAGGGCGTCCCTCTGTTGGTGGCAGGGAGGTCCCGCCGGCAGCTCAGGGACCGGTGTCCTCGGAGCAGGAGAAAGAGGGGAAGCAGCGGGTGTCCGGCGGGCCTGAGAACACCGAGCGCCGGAAGACTTGCTCAGAAGCTCGGGGGCAACGCGCTCAGCAAAGGCCCAGCCGCGATCGCCGCCCAGAGGCCCTGAGGCGGCAGCGCGGGGCGTTCGGTCGGGGACAGCGGAGTCCGCGGCGGGGCGAGCTCTCCGTGGAGCGATGGCTGGGACCGCCCCAGACTGGGAAGCCGGAGACGGAGACGGAAGTTAAGCCCGGCGGAGGAGAGCAGGAAGGGACGTCCGTCGGCGGAGCAGTCCCGGCATCAGCGCCCGGGCGGCGCAGGGGTCGTGAGCAGTGCGTCTGCACCGCTGCGGGTTCCGAGCACCGGGCACCCGCTTTATGCCGAAGGGAGCGAAAGGCAGGGCTTGTGGTCAGAGCCTGACCCCGCGCAGGGGGTCTCCTAGACAAAAGCGGGCCAGCTGGAGCGTCGCAGCCCCGCGGACAGGGACAGCCTGCCGCCCCCCGGACGGTGGACGCGACAGCACACAGCCACGTCTGCCGCGCGGTGGGCTGGCGCTTGGCGCTCACGCGGAAAGCTCGGCTCGGGGGCCCCCGCGTGGTCCAGCTTGTTTGGGTCACTGACTTCCAAAGGCCCGACCGGGGCTCAGGAACTCCTCCTGGGTGACCGACTCCCTTGGGAGCAAGTCGGGTCCACGGTGAGGACCTCGCCAGGGCCCGGTCGAGTGTCCCGACAGCAAGGCGGCTGGCCTCCTTGGGGTGAGCGCAAGGAGAATCCAAGGGGTTTTCTTGGCAGATGGATCAGACGCCCAGACCAGCCTGCCGCGGGCCCTCTGTGACTTGTGACCCGGAGTCAACGCTTCACATCCCCCCACGTTTCTGATCACAGGAGTCCGCCTGATCTTACCGTGATAAACAAAATATGCTGTACTGATGGAACGAAGTAATAGAAATATTACTGAGCTATAGAAAAGGATGACCTACTGACACCTGCTGCAACATGACGGACCTCGAAAACCACCCTGAGTGAAGGAGGTCCCTCAGAGAAGGCGCATATTGTGAGTTCCGTTTGTGCGGAACGTCAGCACAGGCAGACCCGAGAGACGAAAGGCATACCTCCAGAGGCTGGGCCTGCGGACAGGCATGCAGTTTCTTCCGGGCTGATGGAAATGTCCTAAGATTAGATTATGGGGATGGTTTGGTTGCACAACCTGGCAAATGCACTAACCCCCCCTGAATTGTATATTTTGACTGACTGAATTTTATGACATGTAAATTATATCTCAAAGTATTTAGGAAAGAAAGAACAGGAGCTAACATACATATAAAGGGATTCCTGGAAGAACAAAAAATCAAAAGCATCGGAAGAGAGCAGGTGTTAAAAATTAAAATCCAACATGACTCACCTAGCATGAAAAGGTCTGAAACTTAAGTATTCAAAGGACACATTCCATGCTCAGGGAGAGTGACCCAGAGTGAGACGTATTTTTGCAACATTATTGTGTATTAAGGAAAAAACCCAGCAGACTGTCAGGCAAAATGCCTGAGGTCTATCAGGGGAAGAAAATCAGATTGTGACTTTTCAAAAGCAGTGGTATATGGAGGAAGAAAATCAGTGGTCTATTTAGGTCAGTATAGGATGACAGCTGGGTTTTCACATTTGTCCAAGTAACTTGCACACACAGTCGCTATTGACAGACTGCCTTTGACATGCAAGCGTTTAGAGATATTGTCCCCAGGCCTCCTCGTTAGAACCCACGAAGGGACACCTCAGACGATGGAACAGCCAGGAGACATGGACGGTTCCTGAGGGGACGGAGCCTGGAGTAGGGACTGTGTTAAATATGCTCAGGGATACTTACCAAAGACGGAGAAGCATTCCAATCTCATCCAGTCGTTTCCATCACACATGTGCACGTGTTGAGGGCACTTTCATAAGCTTTAGACACAAACAACTTGGCACTTGCTAGTGAAGGAGCCGGCAGAGCCGCGGGAGGAAGGCTGACCCAGAACAGAGGCGCCTGAGAGCGGACTGGGGACACGGAGGCGGCTGGGCGGCCCCCGGGACAGGACTCCCCTGCTCGTGGCGGGGAGTGGATTGTCCGCAGGTGAGAGGTGCGGACCTGGGGCCGTCGGCATCCCTGTGCCCAGCCTGTGGTCCTTAGACCGCCTCCCTCTGGAGCAGCCAGGCCTCTCGGCGGGAGGCGGGGCAGACTCCAGCTCTGAAAGTGCAGGAATCAGAGGCTCGCAAGGAGCAGCCCCATGTGGTCACCACCCTGCTTCCGCCCCTCGAGCAGGAGGGGCCCCTGTGCCCAATTCACTTCTTCCCCTGTGGCTTTTAGTTATTTCCAGGGTAAGTGGGCTCAGTCAGCAGGGCCCGTGGTGGGGGCACCACGAGCCTCCAGGGGCGTATCCTTTGTCCTGGGTCCCCCTGGCTCTCTGGTCCACAAGCTGCTCTTCCTGACAGCTCTGTGGTCTCATCTGGCCAGGCACCGAGCCGTCTGTCTGTCTGTCCACCTCCAGGTCGCCCTCCCCCAGGCACAGGCTGGAATGTCGTGCCAGGGTCGCCCCAGTCTGAGGTCACAGGCCCCCCACCCCTAAGCGGGGACCGGGGGCTGTCAGTGGCTCCCATCTGTAGGACCCAAGCATCTGCAAACTGCCCACGTGGTAGTTTCCATGTGGAGGATCTGGGGCTCCAAAGCCTTAAAATATCTAAGGAAATCCTGGAAGACGCCCATCCAGGCGATGGAGGCGCGGGCTGTGTGGGCAGATGGCGCCCCCCAGGGCTGCCGGGCTGTGCGGGCGGATCAGCTGCTGCTCAGGCGGCTGTGTGCACGCGCACACAGAACAACTCAGCCCAGGGCGGCAGCAGGAGACGACACGGGGCCCGTCTTGCACAGAGCCAGCTCAAGGCCCCTTGGGGTCCTCGGATGAGCCCCCAGACCCCCGAGTAAGCCCCTTGCTCCCAGGGCCGGGGCTCGTCCTGCAGGGAGCTTCAGGCAGGGGCCGGGTGTGGGGCTTCCTCTGGTCAGGGGTGGCCCACAGCGCCCGGGGCCGGGGGTGGTGATGGAGGTGCTCCGAGCACTGGCCGCCTTCCTGGCTGAGGGCCAGGCTGGGAGAGGGGTGGGCAGGAGGAACACCGCGTCCTGAGCTCCCGCCACGTGCAGGTGGCAGAGGTCACTTCAGCCCCCGACCTGTGAGCCTCCCGAGCAGAAGCCATAAACAACCCGCTCTGCAGAGGAGAGACGAGGGCCCAGGCAGGGCTGGGCTGTGATGGAGGTGGTGGCGAGCTAGGGCTCCGGGCCGGACTGGCTGCACCTTGGGGAGGCCGGTCCTTGGGTCCTCTGGGTCGGGAGCACCCCGCCCCGAACTGAGGGTCCGTGGGGCTCCAGACCCCAGCCGGGCCTTCTCTGCCTGGGCATCGTGGCTGAGGTTCATCAGCCAGCCTAGGGCTAGGGGGCGGGCAGAAGGGACTCAGAACCTGCCCTGGGGGAGACTGGGTTGGGGTGATGCTGGCTGGCGGGCCTGGGGGCCGTGCTCAACCCCACACTGAGCCGCTGTTACCACAGGCAGACCTGAGGCCACAGGTCAGAGGTGAGGCTGGTCCGTGGCGGGGCCCCTCGGCTCCTAGCTGGCCATACCAGCGCTCCGTTCCCCTGTCCGCCACTCTGAGAAGCCTGCCGTTCCCCGAAGGGGCACGGGACCCCTCCCTGGACCTGGGGGCAGGAGCTCTGCAGAGAGAAGACCCAGTTCAGGACTTTACACAGTCCCTGCTCCAGCAGGGGATCCCGGGGCCTTTGTGGGGGTGTGGTGCACCCAGCTCTGGGGACCCCCACACTCTGCTAGAGCTTCAGAAGTGGGGCCACTGGGAGGGGGGTGCTGGCCAGGCCTCCAGCCAGGAGGTGGGGAGACCAGGCGCTGAGGCAGGACCACCGCAGCCCCGAGCAGATACACAGAAGGCCGGGACGCTGAGCGCCCTGATGCCGGCCCCTGCCCGCCCCCCACCCCGGGCGGGTGCAAGGACCCCCCAGTCCTGCCGCCAGCCCCTCCCCAGGCAGGGGCACACCGCCCTCGGCAGCCCGTCCTTGTCCGTTTGGGGGCTGGCGCGCCCTCTGGTGGCGAGATGGGGCATCACCTTCCTTGTCTTCGGCAGGTGGTTCAGAACTGGGGGGCGGGGGACCCCGAATCTGAGTGTGTCTATATGAGTGACACCAGCCCCGGGTGCACATGGCTCTGCGAATCAGCTGACCACGACAGTAATTTTTTTCTTTTTGACGCTCGTGGGATCTTACTTAGTTCCCTGACCGAGGATTGAACCCATACACCCTGCAGTGAGACCTCAGGGTCCTGACCGCTGGACCACCAGGAATTCCCGGTAACTTTTGATATTGTATCTTACGTGATTTTTGGAATTGCTGTAACGAAACTCCTTTTGTTACATACAAATATCTGGAAGTGAAAGTTGCTCAGTTGGGTCCGACTCTTTGTGACCCCATAGACTATACAGTCCATGGAATTCTCCCGGCTGGAATACTGGAGTGGGTAGCCTTTCCCTTCTCCAGGGGATCTTCCCAACCCAGGGATCGAACCCAGGCCTGCATTGCAGGCAGATTGTTTATATCTACATATGGGGAAAAAAGTTGCTTAGTGCTAACATGCTAAAAACCTAAAAAGTGGGAGTAAATCTGATGCTGCACACTGTATCTTTTTAACAATAAGTAATAACCAGTCGTGGAAACAAGAATTAAGTGGGAAAAAGCCCCATCCGTTGCATCAAGAGATGCATTTCCAACAAAAATTAACTTTCTTTGTCAGCTTTCTATCGAAATGTATAATATAAATTATTTACACCCAAATTTGTGCTTTTGATTATGAGCTAATAACTGTAAAAATAGCCTAATTCAAACCTAAAGATAATTAAGTCTTATGAAGTATAGAAAATGACATTTCAGTTTATGTACATATTGTAGTGGGTGGTCCCTTGGGACTTGCTGGGGTCAGGTCCATCCCTTCCTATTTTTCACAAAGATGTGCACAAAATACATTACATTAGGATAAAATTCAAAAGGCAAAGAGGAATGAAAATACATGTAAATCAGAAAGAAATCGTGCCTATTAAAGATCTGTCTTTTTTTTATTATTGATTATGGTGGGTTTCAAGTCACTATATTTAGATTTTGTGGAATATATTGAAAAGATTGAACCAGCACATTTTTGAAATGTCAGTGTGCTGATATGTGCAACATCATGGACGAATCTCAAAAACACGCTGAATAAAGGAAGCTTTACCCAAGAGAGCTTCTTAAAGGAAAGCGCGCTCTCATTCTTTCCTGTCTTCTATCAGAGTTCCTGAGGGCTACCCATCGACAGTAGGGGGCTGCTTTGGCTGCGTTTGCTGATAGGTAATGCCCTCGTTATCAAATGTATCAAGAGTCTGTAATGGGACATTTCATTTCCTCTTTGACTCAGAGGACCATGTGCATCCCGCCTGACGCCAGTGATGCTGGCTGACGTTGAGAGCTCTCTGGGCACGTATACTAAGCGCTTCACTGCATTCCATCTTCAGGACACAGAAATATGCAGCTGGTGGCCTGGCCGTCCTTCTGCAGGTGAGGACGTGAACTCACTCAGCCTGCAAGTGGCAGGACAGGTGGAGTGGACTCTGCTCTGTCAAGCTGACAAGAGGTCAGAACTTTAAAAGCATCACCTGCTATTAATTCTGTGTTTATTGCACATGTTCAGGGGGCACTATCTGTGTGGTTTCTGATCTTAGGAACCTATTGAAAATTTCCGGGAGTCCTCACACATGCTCTTTTGTTTGTTTGGCATTTGAAAGGAATGCACTTCCTTTCACTGTGGAATGTAAAGTCCTGTGTATCTGTTATTTATGGTGGTTAGCTGTTCTATTAACACTCCTGTTTCCTTTACTCATTTTTTTGATCTGGCAATTGCTGCTGGAGGTGTGTTGGTCTCCCACTGTGACTATCATTTAGGCAAATTCTCCCTGGGTTTCTAGCAGCTTTTCTCCATATGTTTTGGAGCAAAAGGTTAATAACTGTGATGTGGTCTCGTGGATATGTCAGTCTGGCCCAGTTGGAGGCTCCGCTGTGGTCTCTGCCAAGCCTAGCATCTCATTTCTAAATTTAATTTCCTACAAGACTGTGTGGGATTCTTGCTCCTTGAGGGTTTTAGAAAACAAAACAAGCATCCCAGCTTCTTTTCCCAGTAAAAATAGATTTGAGGACAAGGAGGCAGTGAGGCTCTGAGTGGTGCGTGTGCTGGGTCTGGGGGGAGGTCCTCTCGCTCCCAGACTTGCTGTCCTCTGGGCCCCACCGGGAGCTGCTCAGCTGGTGGAGAGAGGGCTCATGAAGAATTGGCTGGGACTCCTCTTGGATCAGCTCCCAAGCTGATGCGAGCTGGGGCTTCTGATTTGATGACCTCGGTGCTCGCTGCTGGCAAGCTCAGGGGGTGTGTCCCCACTACAGGGTGGCCGAGCGGCAGTCCCTGGGAGGGCCTGCTGTGGGCTGGGCTCGGGAGCCTCATGGACGGGGCTGTGTTTGCCACTGGCGGCCCTGACATCACGCCGGGGAAAGAAATCAGCCATGGCCGTGGTGGGCAGCTTCATCTCCCCATCACTCAGGGCCCATGAGCACAGGCTCGAGATGCCAAGAACTCAGAACCTACGTGCTGAGCCCGAGCAGGTCCGGGGCTGGAGGGAGGGCTGGCTGCCTGTGACGTTTCATTTTACTGTCACTTTCACTGGGCCAGAGGGAGCACAGCCACTGGGTCTATCAGCACTTTGAGTGTGTCTCTGAGGGCATTTCTGGATGGGATTAACATCTGAATCACTGAACCAGTAAAGCAGATTGAACTCCCCAGTGGGGGTGGGCCTCACCCAATCAGTTGAAGGGCTGCTTAGCAGAAATGGTCAACTAAGGGGGAACTCCTCCAGCCTGACTGTCTCCCAGCTAGGACATCGGTCTCTTGCCTTTTGACTCAGGCTGAAACATACACCCTTGGCTTCCCTGAGTCTCCAGATTGCTCACAGCAGAGCAGGGGGCTTGTCAGCTTTCATAACTGCACAAGCCAGTTCCTTATAATAAATCTCCCTCTCTCCATGTATATTACATATGTATAATATACAGATACAGGATGTTGTTGTTCAGCTGCTAAGTCATGTCCGACTCTTTGTGACCCCATGGACTTCAGCATGCCAGACTCCTCTGTCCTCCACTATCTCCCAGAATTTGCTCAAATTCATGTCCACTGAGTCAGTGATGCCATCCAACCATCTCAGCCTGTCCCCCCCTTCTCCTCCTGCCCTCAGTCTTTTCCAGCATCAGGGTCTTTTCCAAGGAGTTGGCTCTTTTATCATGTGCCAAAAGTATTGGAGCTTCAGCTTTAGCATCAGTCCTTCCAATGAATATTCAGGGCTGATTTCCTTTAGAGTTGACTGGTTTGATCTCCTTGCAGTCCAAGGGACTCTCAAGAGTTTTCTTCAGCAGCACAATTCAAAAGCATCAGTTCTTCAGGCTCAGCCTTCTTTGTGGTCCAACTCTCACATCTATACATGACTACTGGAAAAGCCATAGCTTTGGCTAGATGGACTTTTGCTGGCAAAGTGATGCCTCTGCTTTTCAATATACCGTCTAGTTTTGTAATGGCTTATCTTCCAAGGAGAAAGCGCCTTTTAATTTCATGGCTGCAGTCACCATCTGCAGTGATTTTAGAGCCCAAGAAAAGAAAATCTGTCACTGCTTCCACTTTTCCCCCTTCTATTTGCCATGAAGTGATGGGGCTAGATGCCATGATCTTAGTTTTTTGAATGTTGAGTTTCAAATCAGCTTTTTCACTCTCCTCTTTCACCTTTATCAAGAGGCTCTTTAGTTCTTCTTTGCTTTCTGCCATTAGAGTGGTTGTTGTTCAGTTGCTCAGCTGTGTCTGACTCTTTGTGACCCAATGGACTGCAGCAGCCCAGCCCTCCCTGTCCTTCACCATCTCCTGGAGTTTGCTCAAACTCATGTTCATTGAGTTGGTGATGCTATCCAACCATCTCATCCTCTGTTGCCTCCTTCTCCTCCTGCCTTCAATATTTCCTAGCACTAGGATCTTTTCCAATGAGTTGGCTCTTCACATCAGGTGGCCAGAGTATTGGAGCTTCAGCTTCAGCATTAGTCCTTCCAATGAACATTCAGGCTTGCTTTCCTTTAGGATTGACTGGTTTGATCTCTTTGCAACCCAAGAGACTCTCAAGAGTCTTCTCCAACATCACAGTTCGAAAGCATCAATTCTTTGGTGCTCAGCCTTCTTTACGGTCCAATTCTCGCATCCATACATGACTACTGGGAAAACCATTGCTTTGACTATATGGACATTTGTCAGCAAATTAATGTCTCTGCTTTTTAATAAGTTGACTAGGTTTGTCATAACTTTTCTTCCAAGGAGCAAATGTCTTTTAATTTCATGGCTGCAGTCACCGTCTGCCTATCTGAGGTTGTTGATATTTCTCTTAGCAATCTTGATTCCAGCTTATGGTTCATCCAGCCTGGCATGTCACATGACATAGTCTGCATATAAGTTAAATAAGCAGGTTGACAATACACAGCCTTGCCTTACTCCTTTCCAAATTTCAAACCAGTTGGTTTTTCCATGTCTGGTTCTAACTATTGCTTCTTGATCCCCAGATAGGTTTCTCAGGAGACAGGTAAGGTGGTCTGGTATTCTCAGCTCTTTAAGAATTTTCCAGTTTGTTGTAATCCACACAGTCAAAGGCTTTAGTGTAGCCAATGAAGCATAAGTAGATGTTTTTCTGAAACTCCCTTGCTTTTCTCTATGATCCAATGAATGTTGGCAATTTGGTTGGTGGTTCCTCTGCCTTTTCTAAACCCAGTTTGTATATATAGAAGTTCTCAGTTCATGTACTGTGGAAGCCTAGCTTGAAGGATTTTGAGCATAACCTTACTAGCATGTGGAATGAGTGCAATTGTATGGTAGTTTGCACATTCTTTGGCATTGCCCTTCTTTGGGATTGGAATGATAACTGAATTTTTCCAGTCCTATGGCCACTGCCGAGTTTTCCAAATATGCTGGCATATTGAGTGCAGCACTTTCACAGCATCATCTTTTTTAGGATTTTAAGTAGCTCAACTGGAATTCCATCACCTCCACTAACTTTGTAGTAATGCTGTCCTTCAGGTGGAGTTTGTTACTCCCAGGCTCAGAGGAATGAGATCAGTCCTCAAGGTCACAGGGCAGTGAGCAGTAGGGTTGGAATAGACACCAGACCTGTTAGAAGTTTTACATTTTATTTGTATTTTATTAGTGTCAACCTATTTTTTTTTTGACCACCCTGAGTGGCATGTGGAATCTTAGTTCATCTACCAGTGATTGAACCTGGGCCCCTGGCAGTGGATGCATAGTCATAGACATTGGACCAGAGATGTCTTTTAAAATTTCAAAATAAAAACATTGAGGTGTGTTTCCCACTCACATTGCATTTTAATTACGTCTATTTCCTCCCTTCAATAGGACATGACATTTGGCACCCATTTAGTCCTTTCTTTTTTCATCCTCATCTCTTTCGTTTGGCTGACTGTCTTCCAGAATTTTAGTTTCCAGATGTTATTAATGCCTTTTACCTTAATTATCTACTATTTTAGGAATCTTTTCTTAATAATCACATTAAACGTTATGACTGCATTGCTGATAATTATCAAGAATAATTCTGCATTTTATGGTTTCTTTGTTCATCATCATTCCTTCGTTTTAATTTTTCCCTGTTTCTTGAATTTACTCTTTCATTTTGCCAGTGTTGGTATGAGTGCTTTTGTTCTTCCATCGAGGCTCTGAGCAGTTTACTAGTCTTTCCATATCCGACAATATGATTTCTCCTTACACTTGAATCACAATTGGCCTGGGCATTGAGGAAACAAATGCTTTCCTTCCTTAGAATTTTCCTTCGGGGACGGTTCTTCATTGTCTCCTGGTCGCTTGGGTCGCAAAGGAGCCGACTGCCCTTCCGATGTGCACTGCTCGCCAGGCGGTCTGTTTATTCACAGCGACAGCTTTTCATTTCCATCCCTGGAGTTCAGAATTTTCATCTGCGTGTACTGAGTGTGTGTGTCCTTTAAAGAAAAAATTATTCCATAAGTCAAAGAGAATTATCATATGATACCGCTTCTATGTGGAATCGCAGACTTAGAGGATGAATTTATGGTTACCGGGAGGAAGAGCGGGCAGGGGACAGATGGACTGGGAGGCTAGGACTATACGCACTGCTGTATTTAAAACAGAAAACCAGCAAGACCTACTGTGGAGCGCAGGGAGCCCTGCTCAGTACTCTGTAATAACCTAAACAGGAAACGGATCTGAAAAAGAGTGAGTATATGCATACATATAACTGAATCACTTTGCTGTACACGTCAAATGGCAAATATAACATTGTTAAACAACTGTACTCCAATATAAAATAAAAACTTTTTAAATTAAAAAAAGTTATTCCTGCCTGGTGCTTAGCTGACCATTGCTACCAGACAATCAACGGACCAAGTCTTTGTTAAGATCAGGAAAATTTTCTTTACCTAAAAAAGTCTAAAAAATGTTTTATTTAAAAATTTGTTTTTAAAATAGAAATTGCATATATTGAACATTTAAGGTGTAAGACATGATGGTTTGGTAGACATACACACAGTGACATGATCACTGCAGTCAAGCTAGCTAACATCATCTCCTCACTTAGTTATGACGACGGCTCGTGAAATCGCACGTAACCGGGGTTCAGCACAGTTAACTGCAGTCACCATGCTGTGTGTGCTAGAGTCATCCTACAAGGACTATTTTCTTTAGAAATATTTCTCACTATTTGTTCTTTTTGTCTTCCCCATTTATCTGCCTAGGGCACCTATTATACAGTTTTTGGATCTTCTCTTACTTCTCTTTTCCTTTCCTAGAAAGGTTTATTCAGCTGCAAGTGACAAGCCCCAAGTATAAGTGTTTTAAACCATATGGACGTATACTATAGTGCCTTGTGAACATTTACCACTTACTTATCAAGAAGCTGAAGGACGGAGGTCCTGGGGTGGGTTCTGTGGCTCTAGAATGTCTGCAAGTTCCTAGGTTTTGCATTCTCCGTCTGTTCTGCCATCTTCAGCTTGGAGATTTGTTGCCTCTTTATGACAATTTGGCTGCCAGAGCTCCAGCCATCAGGTTCACAAACACTGTGTTTAAAGGCAGGAAGGAGGGGATGCCAGGTTGGCATGACTTTCCATATAAGCATTTCTTCTTTTGTATGAGAGAAAGTTCTTGCCCAGAAACCCCTCACCAGATTCCCAGCTGTGCATGGTATGACAGCACTTGATCCAAGGGAGACTGGGAAAATGAAATGTTGACCTTTTTCAGCCCACAGGGTTGGAGTTGGGCAAAGGGGAAAAAGCTAGTGGCTGTAACAAACAGCAAATGCCCTGTCTTGTTTTTGCCTCAGGTCCAGATAGAAATTTCCTGACCACATTTCCTGGGTTCCTCCCCGAGTGTTCAGCCCGGTCTGAGCTGCTGGCCTTTCCGTGAACTTCACCCACGACCTTCATGCCAGGAACTCGGATGCTCTTCCCTGGTGGGCCGTTTTGTCCTCTGGAATCTCGTGATCTCTTTGAACTTTCCTCCCTTTTCCTGTGATAACTGTCCCCTCGTGAGTTGATCTGTTTATAATTTTAGTGCTCCCCTTGCACTTTGTTCGAGCTCAGTTGCTCAGTCATGTCTGACCCTATGCGACCCCTGGACTGTAGCCCGCAGGGCTCCTCTGTCCACGGGATTCTCCAGGCAAGAATCCTGGAGTGGGTTGCCATCTCCCCACCCAGGGACTGAACCCATGTCTCCTGCATCTCCTACATTGGCCGGTGGGTCCTTTACCACCGAGTCACCAGGAAAGCCTGCACTGTGTTGCTTTCCCTGTTATCTGGGTTCTCAGTTCTGTGTTTGCATTTGTAAATAGAAGACCAGGCTGAGTACAATGTGTCGTGAGCAGCACAGCTGTTTTAAGGGGGTCTTCTCTGTCTCCCCAGAGCCGTGACCTTGGTGGACACCTGCCGTGTTGGCCGCGGGACCCCTGTTTGTACAGCCTGGGGGCCTGCGGACCTTGCTCGCCTGCCTGCGGCTCCCTTCAGCCAAGTCTCCAGGTCTCACTGGACTCAGCCAGTGAACATGTTGGGAGGAGAGGGATCTCCGGTGCCACCTGGGACCTCAGGGGAGTCTCGCTGGACGAAACGAGTCAGACCTAGCAGACCAAACAGCTGAGACACAAGTGAGGGCGAGGGAAGCTGTTCCAGACGGGGAACAGAAAGTCGGGGTGCTCTGAGGCAAGGGACGCGCTTGCCTGGAGGAGCTGCGGGGGTGGGCAGGGCCTGGCGGGGTGGGCTCTGGTCTCTCTCCAGAGAGCCAGAGATGGTCTCTAAGCAGGGTGGTGCTGGGACACACGGGCATTTAAGGAGAGCAGGAGGGGCAGATGTGGGGTGGGCATCCAGGGGAGAGAGGGCGGTGGATGCCAGGCTCGGGGAGGGGGGCTGAGTGGGGCCCAGGGATGGTGCTGACCCTGGGGAGGGTTGTGAGAGGGGGCTTGCGGGGGTCTGCTGCCCCCTCCCCCGGAAACCTCAGGAAGGACGTTTCCCTACTCCTCCTCCTTCTTGCAGGTGGGGCAGATGGACTGAGGGGGCGGCTGGAGCCAGGACGGGTGGGGCGCTGGGGCTCCCCCTGCCCTCCCCTGAAATCCACCAGCCATCCGCCCTGGGGATGCAGAGGGGGCGGGCACAAGAACCAGGCCACAGGGACCCAGCCTTGGTGAGAGCCACTTAGGAGAGACTGGCAGCCCAAGGATGGAAGTGGGCCCCTCAGCACAGAGGTGGCCCCAGAGGTGTTTCTGGCGGGGAGGAGGGAGGCCAGGCTGCCAGGCCCCCAGGGTGGGCAGGCTGCCCCCGTGAGCACGCAGGGGTCGCGGGCAGAGGTTCTGGGCTCCTCTCCCCGTCTCTGCGGACAGTCCCCGGCCGCCAGACCAGGGTCGCGGGAGGGAGCCCGGGCGGCCGACGCAGGTCACGCGGTCAGCGCTGGGTTGCGGGAGTGGGCGGCTCCGGCCGCTGGTGGGGTCAGCGCTCGTGGGTGCCAGGCTGCCCCCCAACCCAGGGCCCCGTTGGCGTCGCATCCCCGCTGGAGTCTTGCCGGCACTGGCCGCGCGAGGGGGCCCGAGCTCCACCCACGGCCCTGGCTCCGGAGACGGGGGCGGTGGGCGCGGTCTGCAGGACCACCCAGCTTCCAATAGGAGAACGCGGCCCTCTCCCGGGCCGAGATCGTTCTGCCGAGGAGGGAGGAGGCGGGCTCTGCCCCAGGGGCGGGGGGCTTCCTGGGGGAGGCGGCACGCTTGGCCGCAGCCCCGGTGTGGGCAAGAGAGGGGCCCGTGCGGTCGGAGCTCGCACCGCCCGGGGAGAGGTGTCCATCTCATGGGCTCAGCAGCCGTGGAGGTCGCGCCACGGCCCCCTCTCCCTCCACGAGGAAGTCCCCTCCCCACGAGCCCCCGGAGTCGGGGGGCAGATCCGCCCCGCTTCCTGGGGCTGGAACTGAGGTTCTGGGTGAATAATGGACGCTGCACAAACAGGTATTAACGCGGCTCCTGGGGCGGGGGAGACGCATCCTTGTTAATATTTATTAAACCTGCGGCCCGTCTGAATGACGGGCCTCATAAATATTAATTCCCAATTAAACATTTATATGAAGGAGATTGTTTCTCCTCCCCTTCAAAGAACCTGTTTGAAGCTGGGGCTGCCGGTGGCTGTAGGGGACGTGGGGTCTCCAGGGAGGGGCGCGGGGGGTGGGGCTGGCAGTGGGGCGATCCCCTCCTGCCTGGGCCCTGACCAGCGCCCCCCGCCCCTCCGGCCACGCCGCGTCCCGCAGAGGGGCGGCTGCTGACCGGTCAGGGTTCCTGCGTCGCGCCCAGCTGGTCTCGGAGTGAGTTACCAGTGAGGTCCACCGCACAGGGCAGTGAGGTTTGGGGGCGGAGGGGGTGGGTGAGGGTCTGGAGGAAGGGGGAAGGGCTGCCCCTCAGACAGGCTGGTGAGGCCCCGGAGGCCCCTGCAGACTTCCCGCCCACAGTGGCGGGGTCTCCTGCACTGCGGGCCTCGGGTGTTGACGTGGAGGGCTGGTGACCGGTGGTCTTCGGCCCCTGCCCAGAGCTCCCGCCCTGAGCGTGTGTGACGGAGCAGGGGGCTCTGACTAGGTCGGGACCCTTGCCCGAGGCTGGGGCGGTTGGGGCCGGCCCTCTGCTGTGGCTGGGACCCCAGACTCCACTTACCAGGGTGGCGTCCTGCAGCGCTCTGCCTTTGGTGAGTCTCCGGGCGAGGCCCTCCTGTCTACCCCTGTGCGGCAGGCTTTCTGCAGTAGTGATGCAGGTGACCGCCTCCCCGCGTCCTGGCCCACCCTGGGCAGCGCCAGCTTTCTGTGTGCCAGCCTGGGGGGCGGGAGCCGCGGCCCTGCGGTCTCCAAGTGTGTGGCTCAGTTGCCCGGCACACCCTGGGGCTCCCCTGGGGTGCCCGTGGGCAGTCGTCCGCCAAGCCGCCCGTCCCCACAGTTCTCTCACACTTGCCCTCGCGGTCCCGCCTGCGGCGCATCTGGAGCCAGCTTTTTATAAAGACCAGCCTTCTCTCCGCAGTGATGAGCCGCGTTCCCAGCACCATGTCTCCCTGGATGGGCGTGGGTCACCGGCGCCCCTGGAGCCCACGTGTCCCCAGGCCTGTTCAGGGCGACCTTGCTCCTTTGTCAACAGAGCCGGCCTGTCGGTAAGTCTCCTGGTGACCGCGGCTGTGGGGTCATCTACGTTCTGGGGGAGTGGGCGCTGTCTTCCTGCTCTTTTCCGGTTTGCGTCCCCATTCCTGGGCCTTCAGTCTCCGCGGGCAGATTTAGGAGGAGCTGGGGCTCGGATTTGCAGAACACTGGTCTGGACACTCACCTGGGGACAGTCGGCCAAGCCGAGCTGACCGTGGCTCTTTCTTGCTTCGGTCAACATCAGCACTCTTCCTTGGAGTCCTAAGATGCGAACGCGCAGTCTGCATTCCCGCATTCCCGGCTTGGCTGCTGTTTGCACTGTGAGCCCTGGCTCACCTCCCGCGTGTTACTGGCAGTGTGGAGTCTTACCATGATTTCTGGAGGTTTATCTTGTGGCCCGTTAGCTCCACGAAGACGGTCACATTATCCACGCATCACGAGGGTCTTCTCCAACCCTCCCTTCTCTGACTTCATTTTTTCTGTCCTGCATGTTTCCCAGGTCTTTCAAAATTATGTTCAACAGGGTGGGGGCTGGGGTCATTCTTGATTTACCTCTGATCTTGAGGAGTCTTAGATTTTTCCTTTAAATCTGCTGTCTCCCGAGTGGTTTTTGAAGATCGAGTTTATAAAGTAAAAATGTTCTCTTGCATTCGAAGCCTTCCAGGAGTTTTTAGAGATTAATAGGTGTTGAACTCTGTGCAGACCTTTGCTGTGTCTACCGAGATCACTCATGTGGCTCTTTTCCTCCTTTGCTCCTTTCAGGAGACTCTGCTCATCTAAGGGCGAGCTGTCCGGACCCTGTGGACTGGGGTGTTGGTGTTATTTTGAAGCAGGTCTTGTGGACTGGCATGGATCACGAGGAACACGGTTACTTTATGAACCTCTCGGAAAGAAAAAGTGCCGCCTGTGAACCCAGGAGCTGGTGCCTGCGGTGTGCAGCCCGAGTTTACACTCACCAGGCACTCTCTGGACCTTTCTGACGCGGGTCTGCCTAGCATGTGCTCGTGCAAGTGTAGAAAGAGACCGGATGGAGACCAACCGGCTCAGGAGGCCCTGGGGTCCTCGTGCCAGGAAGGGCCCCCGACCACTTTCCAGCCTGAGCCGCCAGGCCCCTGTTTTCCGCATGGAATGGTCCCCGGTCCCCGGGACCGGGGGCAACGCTGCGCTCTGGAGAAGATTCACCCCCGCTGTGCCCGGCTTTCCTTCAGCTGCCAATAGCGGCTGGAGGTTTGATGCTTGTGCTTCTGGAAAGGTGGGAAACCACCACCCCCAGGGCTCCAAGAAGGAGCTCTTTGATTTGTTGTTCCCCCAGCCTGGCCCCAGGGAGGCATGTGGCACCCTGAAGCTCGGCGGAGGGAGGAGGGGAGGGAAGGTGCAGGAGGCACTGGACCCCGAGGACTTCTGTTCACCGTCCCCCTCTCTGTTCAGAGGCAGGTGAGTGAACGGTGGTCTTTCCTGTTCTTTGATGGTGGACAGGTTTGTCCCAGCCTCTCACAGGGAGTGTGGAGAGCCGGATCTCCAGGGGTACTGGATACTGGGGGCGTGATCCTGGGGCAGCCGTGAGGATGAGGTGCTCCCGGGGAAGGGAGCGCCATCCAGGGCCCCCAGCAACGGCTGCCCTGGTTAGTGCTTCCTGCCCCTCGGCCGGGCCGCCCCACCGGCCCGCCTGCGGGTTCACACCTGTGGCCCCTGGCGATCCCCTGGCACCGTGCAGGGCAGAGAAGTCGGGTGGGAGGTGAGGGTGCAGGTCGGCGCGGCTGGGCTTTCAGGCTGTGCCCACGAGCCTGGGCACCCAGGGATGCTGCTCAGGGTGCGGTGAGAGGTCTGGGGGGCTTCAGCAGAGCTGGCACCTCCCCTTGTCCTTTCCAGAGGGGCGTCTCTGCAGGGGCGATGGGACCTGTGTCTGCTGTGTGGAGCCGGCTTTCACGGGGAGGCAGTGGGTGATGCCTCAGCCTGGTGCTCCAGGTTCGGATGTTGCCCTGAGCCCCAGTGTGGTGGTGGTAGGAGGTGGGGCTTCTGAGAGGTGACTCGGGATTGAGTTAGATGAGGTTGGGACTTGGCTGGTGCTCTAGTGGCTAAGACTGCACGCTCCCAGTGCAGGAGCCAGGGTTTGATTCCAGGTCAGGGACCTAGATCCTACGTGCCACAACTATGAATGAAAGAAAGAGATCGCGAGTGCTGAAACTAAGACCTGACGCAGCCGAATAAATAAAAAGTATTAAAAAGTGTTAGATGAGGTCGTAGGGTGCAGCTGGTGCCCTTTTAGAGACAGAGAGCTTGGGTGTGGGGAATAGAGGGGCTGAGGGTGGCGCTCCATTGGCCTCTCCGTGTCCTCGCCTCGCTGGACAGTCCCTCTGCCCCCACCTCCTCCTCTCTCAGGGGCCGGTTACCCGTGGACCCCCTCTGGTGCTCTGCATCTGAGAGTGAGGGGGGCATTTTGCGGTCAAGGTCAGGGGTTGGATTGGGGCCGCTAAGGTCGCTGCTCGGACCACATCCTAGATGAGGGTGGTCCAACGTGGCAGGTTGCTGGGGGTCCAGGAGGCAGAGCAGGAGGTCCAGACTGGACCACTGGACTGGCCAGTCCCCAGGCCCCGGGCCCAGCAGGGCTGCCGCTCGTTGCCAGGGAGGGTGGGGGCAGGCCACACAGCCAGTCCTGGGTGACCCCCGCCTGGTGCTCTGGGGGCAGCCATCCGGCCCCCTCGCGCTGCCTCCTGGCTCCAGGGGTTTGCGGGGGCGGGGGTGTTGGTGGGAGGAGGGAATGCGGAAGGTACGCATCCTGGTTCCTTGTTCACTGATTTAAATGAGATAGAAAGGCTTTTTATTGATCTGCATGTAAAAGTTACGAAGCCCAATTTATCATGAACAGGAGCAGATTAGTGGGCCATCAAACCACAAGTGGCTGGCGATCTTCTGGGATCTTTAGGCTGGGAATAAAGGTCAGCTGTAAAGACGGACGGGCTCCAGAGATGCGAGCGCGAGAAGTCGTGCCTTCCCACAGCCAGCACCCCGCTCCTCCTGGGCGTCTCGTGTGCTCCTGTGTAGATAATGTGAATTTGCCCGTAAATGAAAGAAAGGAGCTCAGAGTACCGTTCAGTTCAAAGCACCGAGTGAACCGTCTGTGTCCAGGTCTCGGGGTGAGGGAGGGCGTGGGCAGGGCTGAGGCTGGGGGTGAGGCGTGGGCTCCAGCCAGGGCAGGAAACTCGCGTGTGGCCGCTGCTGTCCTCCCCCCAGCCCACGTGGACTTGGAGCCTGCTGTACCGGCCGCCTGTGCCCCCTGCACGGCACCCCCCACCCTGCCCTCCCGGCTGATCTCGGGGAGGGTCCGGGCAGCTGCAGACTGGGCGTCGGGCTCGCTCGGGGTGCGAGCTGCCCCTCACTGGGTGGGTGTGCCCTGTCCTGCTCTCCCGCCAGTGGCTGCTGGGCAGCCACGTGCCACCTCTGGGGCCAGCTGGCACCATCCAGAGGCTCTGGGGGACAGGCTGCTGGACTGAACTCGCTTTCCTTCCCTGCCAAGTTCCTGTTTGAAGCTTAACCTCCAACGTGGCTGTGTTTGGAGAGAGAAGGTAACTAAGATCAAGTGAGGTCAGGAGAAGGCTGCTCTGGTCCACTCTCCGCAGGGCCGAGGCCCACAGCTCGGCTGAGGCCCACGGTGGGGCTGCGGAAACCCGGGCTGGCCCAAGCCCTGTGCCGGGTCCTACCCGCGGCCGAGGGATCCTGTGAGATGGAGATGCGGGAACGTCCCACTCACCTGCAGGCCCAGCCCCTCACCTCCACGTGGGCCTGGGTGGACCCGGCCCGTGAGTAGGGTCACAATTGGCCCTACTCACCCGTCTCCACTGCCTGGCCTGCCGTGGGACCTGGGGCCAGGGGCCACCTAGGGCTTGGGGTCTTGGAGAGCAGGTGGGCAGCTGGGTCTTCAGCCATCCTGCTGCCCACAGAGCCCGAGGGTCAACCATGGCTGTGATTTTTCATGGCACATGGATGTTCTGATACAAGTGTTTAATCAGTGCTGCTGGGAGGGAGAATGGATTGGCCTGAATTTTTCCAAAACCAGGCAGAGGACTTCAGTGCCTGGTGAGTGGCAGCGGCGGCAGGCCGGCCACGCCGCTGGGGTGACGGCCAGGGCCGGGGCTCTGGTGAAGCCGGTGTCCGCGCCCAAGCAGGAGGCCATGTGCACCAGTGAAAGGTGCTGGAGACCCTGGGGGCCCCTGGACCGTATGCTCGGCCCACTCTCCAGTTATATGTCTTTTTCCCTTCCAGATCGCTTTTTGTCGGAGTTGTTTTTATCTTCTGGATTCTAGCAATTCACTAGTCACATGCACGGCAACACTTTTATTCAAGTCTCTTTGCTTTTCTCTCTGTTTGCGGGAAACTTCTGGCACTCAGAATTTCACATTCAAGCTGGACAGCGTATCAATACGTTCCTTATTGTCTGCCTGTTCTGTGCCTTATTTAAGAAGTCCTGCGCTTCACCAGTATCATAAGCATAGTCTGTTTCCTGTAAGAGGCTCACAGAAAAACTGAATGAACTTTTGGGGCAACCCAATAGTTTGGTTTTCCACATTTCAACAAACTTAAGAGTCTACAAGGCGATTTTCATCCCCCCGCAGCTCAGGGTGCCTGAGGTGGAAGGCAGGCGCTGAACCGAACCCTCCTCCTGTGGAAAGGTGGCGTCCTGGTGCCGTTTGTGAAACAAGCCAACTTTCTTGCCTGTGCTTCACGGTGTGGTGGCCCGGAACCACACGTGCCATTTACATGTAAACAGACTGACATGAAATAAAATTCAAAATTCGGTTTCTCAGACTCTGTTGGTGGTATTTCAAATGCTAAGTAGTCACCCGAGCTGATAATTATAAAAATGAATAAAGGTAGGAAAGGTGTAGAAACTCGATTCCGTAATTGCATGATCGCACGTGGACAATAGCACTAATTAGAGGTCATCCTTCTGGAGGATGGAAGATTTACAAAAACTGGCCACATTTCAGAAATACCAACTTGTGGGTCCTGCAGGACGCATTCTCTGCTGAAAGAGTAGTCAACTTAGAAATCAGTAGCAAATGCTATTAGCAAACCCCACAGCTTCAGAATGAAAAAAAAAATGCTTCTAAATAATCCAGCTTCAAAGAGGCGTTCATAGGGAAATGAGAAAATAGATCTGAACAGCAACTGCTTATCAAAACTTGTGGGCGAAGTGGGGAAGAGCCCGTCTGTGTTATGTGTTTTTGTGTAAATCCAGTATTTTGGGGTCTCAGTTTCCTGACCAAGGATAGAACCCACACCCCCTGCAGTGGAAGCGCAGAGTCTTAACCACCGGACTGCCAGGGAAGTCCCCGTATCTGAGACACTTTGGTCTGGGACTTCCAGCCTCCGGACTATGAGAAAATAAATTTCTTAAAAATAATTTTTTAAGCCACCTAGTTTGTGATATTTCTTTACAGCAGCCCTAGCAAACTAAGACATATGCTTTTCTCTCTTTGCTTTTAATATATTTTCTTTATCGTGAAGTTCCGCAGTTACACTGTGGTATAATTAGGTATGTAATTGATTTTTAAATTCTGCCTGGAACTTATGAGTCACGGATCTGAGACTCTACCTTTCATTAATTCTGGAAACTTCTCAGCCCCTGTCTGTGCAGAAGAGGGCTCGCAGAGGGGGGCTGAGACTGCGGTCCTTAGAAAGTCCTGCTTGCAAGGGTGACCTGTGGCTGACCTCTGAGGATGTAGGTTTCCGGAGAGTTCCCGCCACCTCTGGAACTTGCTGTGACTAAAGTGTTTGTGCAAACAATATGGTTTATGCTGAACCTCTGAGAGATAGAGGCTGCTGGCATGAGCAGCTCCCGATAAAAACCCCGGGCCCTGGGGTCTGTGTACCGAACCACTGCAACTAAAAAGGCTGCTTTTCTTCTGTGTTTCTTCTGGTCCAGTTCTCTCCCCACTCACAACCAAACAGGAACCATACTTTGAGGCAGAAAGTCACTTTAACACTCTAAAATATTGGGTCTGATTTTTAAATGTTGAAACTCACTACTGATGATTCTGCACTAGGCGAATCTATGCAAACACAGTCTCTCCGTGTCACACACACACTCCGCCCCTGCCCTAAATCCTTCCATCATCCACTTCCTCCGACAATAGAGCACAGAATGGATTTAGTTAAGTATGCAAATGCTAGGCTAGAATTTTGAGGGTGGGGGAGAGAGGAAAGGATGTGGGTATTTAGGTTGCTTCTGACATTTTGCAACTACGGAAGAGGCTGCAGCGAACAACCTTTTGTCGTGGTATTTTCAGGGTGCATCCTCGGCTGTCTGGGTCATCAGGCAAGAACGTGTGTAGTTTCGTAAGACACTGCCCAGTTCCCAGGTGTTTGTTCGTTTGCATTCTCCCGGCATGTGTCAGGGCGCCGCTTTCCCCACAGCCTCACCGGCGGGATGAGTTGTCACTCCTGGTTTCATCAGTATGAAATTGTATCTGAGTGTAGGGGTTTTTGTGGGTTTTTTTGGTGTGGGTGTGGTCGGATAAACACCTGCAGTTGTAACCATTGAAAAAAGGAAACCTTGGGCGTTTGTGTTTCTGTGTGTTTGGCCGTGCTGGGTCTTGGGTGCTTCCCCGGTCGCACTGCGGGCCTCTAATTGCAGCGGCTCCTCTGTCTGGGAGCGCGGGCTCTGCGCGCCGGCTGGGCGGCCGTGGCACGCGGGCTTCACTGCCCCTCAGCATGTGGGGTCTTCCCGGACCAGGGATGGAACCTGTGTCCCCTGCACTGGCGGGCGGATTCTTTACCACTGGGCCGCCAGGGACGCCCCTTGCCCACTTTTAAGTGGGTAGCTCTGTGGCGCTGCGTGCGCTGGCACTGTTGTGCACCCAGCCCCGCCGCCGCCTCCAGGGCTCGCCGTCGCCCCGAACAGAAGCCCTGCCCCCGTCAAACACCGACCTCTCACCCCTCCTCCTCGGCTCCCGACTCTGACGCTCTGGGGCCCTCCTGTGAGTGGAATCACGCAGATCTCTCCTCTGGTGACTGGCTTAGCTCGCTGAGCATGGTACCCTCAGGGTTCGGGCGAGCTGAAGCCTGTGTTAGGATTTTATTCATTTTTGAGGCTGAATACCTTATTGTGCCTTTAATTTGCATTCTTCAGTCGTGTGTGAGGTTGAACACTATTTCATATGTTTAAGGGCCACTTCTACATTTTCTGGGGGCATTTTCTGTTCATGTTTTTCCTCCATTTGTTTCTAGTGGGTTTTTGTTCTTCCTTCTGCCGTCAATATTTAAGAACTTTTAATGTTGTCGTTTAGTCACTAAGTGGTGTCTGACTCTTTTGCGACCCTATGGACTGTAGCCCACCAATCTCCTCCATCCATGGGATTCTCCAGGCAGAAACACTGCAGTGAGTTGCCATTTCCTCCTCCAGTGGATCTTCCCAACCCAGGGATCAAACCCACGTCTCCTGCATTAGCAGGTGGAGTCTCTAACACTGAACCACCAGGGAAGCCCGAATTAGGAATATTACCCTTTTATCTGGACTTCCTTGGTGGCTCAGCTGGTAGAGAATCCGCCTGCAATGCGGGAGACCTGGGTTCTGATCCCTGGGTTGGGAAGATCCCCTGGAGAATGGAAAGGCTGCCCACTCCAGTGTTCTGGCCTGGAGAAATCTACGGACTGTATAGTCTATGGGATGATATGTGCTATAAATACTTTTTCTTACTTTGTCAGTTATCTTTTGACTTTGCTTACAGTGTCTTTTTCTGTGCAGAATTTTAGCTTTTGTTTAGTCAGGTTTGTAATCCTTTTCTCTTATTGCCTCTGGCTATTGAGTCATAGAGATTCTTTCCCTGTGTCAAAGTTAATGGCATTCACTCCTAGTTCCTTCGGCACTGGTCTGGTTGGAGTTTACTTTTGGATATGGTGTGAGGCGTGGATCTAACTCATCTTTTTCAAATGGCTTCTGAGTTGTCCCAGCACCATTTGTAAAAAGTGCATCTTTTAAAAGAAGCCACTATGTGTTAATTTTATATCCTGCAACTTTACTGTATTCGTTGATTATCTCTACTAATTTTCTGGTAGAGTCTTTAGGATTTTCTATGTAGAGGATCATGTCATCTGCAAACAGCGAGAGTTTCACTTCTTCTTTTCCTATCTGGATTCCTTTTACTTCTTTTTCTGCTCTGATTGCTGTGGCCAAAACTTCCAAAACTATGTTGAATAGTAGTGGTGAGAGTGGGCACCCTTGTCTTGTTCCTGATTTCAGGGGAAATGCTTTCAGTTTTTCACCATTGAGGGTGATGCTTGCTGTGGGTTTGTCATATATAGCTTTTATTATGTTGAGGTATGTTCCTTCTATTCCTGCTTTCTGGAGAGTTTTAATCATAAATGGA